GGAATTGGCAGGGGACATGTTTGTCAAAAGGTACAATTCTGAGCAGGGCGCCGTGGCTTACACCTATAATCCTAGCTACTCAGGAAGCAGAGATCAGGAGGATCATAGTTTGAAGCCAGCCTGAGCAAACAGTTGGTGTGACCCCATCTCCAAAATAACCACAGCAAAATGGACTGGAGGTGTGGCTCAACTAGTAGAGTGCCTGCTTTGCAAGTGCAAAGCCCTGAATTCAAATCCCTGTCCCACAAAAAAAATTTTTTTAAGGCAATGACTTGGACCACAAGGATAAATGACCATCTGCTTCACGTTCTGACAAGATAAATGATTGTTGCAAATGAATCCATGGGTGATTTAATTCAGTTTACTTAAAGAACCAATAAAGAAATGGGCAAGTGAACTAAACAGAACTTTCTCAAATGAAGAAGTTCAAATGGCCAAAAAACACATGAAAAAATGCTCACCATCTCTAGCAATAAAGGAAATGCAAATTAAAACCACACTAAGATTCCACCTCACCCCTGTTAGAATAGCCATCATCAGCAACACCATCAACAACAGGTGTTGGCGAGGATGCGGGGAAAAAGGAACCCTCTTACACTGTTGGTGGGAATGTAGACTAGTACAACCACTCTGGAAAAAATTTGGAGGCTACTTAAAAAGCTAGACATCGATCTACCATTTGATCCAGCAATACCACTCTTGGGGATATACCCAAAAGACTGTTACTCCAGAGGCACCTGCACATCCATGTTTATTGCGGCACTATTCACAATAGCCAAGTTATGGAAACAGCCAAGATGCCCCACCACTGACGAATGCATTAAGAAAATGTGGTATCTATACATAGTGGAATTTTATGCAGCCATGAAGAAGAAGAAATGTTATCATTCACTGGTAAATGGATGGAATTGGAGAACATCATTCTGAGTGAGGTTAGCCTGGCCCAAAAGACCAAAAATTGTATGTTCTCACTCATATGTGGACATTAGATCAAGGGCAAACACAACAAGGGGATTGGACTTTGATCACATGATAAAAGCGAGAGCACACAAGGGAGGGGTGAGGATAGGTAAGACACCTAAAAAATTAGCTAGCATTTGTTGCACTTAACGCAGAGAAACTAAAGCAGATACCTTAAAAGCAACTGAGGCCAATAGGAAAAGGGGAACAGGTACTAGAGAAAAGGTGAGATCAAAAAGAATTAACCTAGAAGGTAACACACATGTATAGGAAATCAATGTGAGTCAATGCCCTGTGTAGCTATCCTTATCTCAACCAGCAAAAACCCTCGTTCCTACCTATTATTGCTTATACTTTCTCTACAACAAAATTAGAAATAAGGGCAAAATAGTTTCTGCTGGGTATTGAGGGGGTGGGGGTAGAGGGAGGGGGTGAGAGGAGCAAGTGAACTAAACAGAACTTTCTCAAATGAAGAAATTCAAATGGCCAAAAAACACATGAAAAAATGCTCACCATCTCTAGCAATAAAGGAAATGCAAATTAAATGTTTGGGTGAAATGACCCAAACATTGTATGCACATATGAATAAAATTAAAAAATAAAAAAAATTCACTGTTTACCCAGCTCACACCCAAAGGAGAGGAGGGAAAGCCAAAGCCAGCAATGTCAGGGCCTTGTGACAGATGCAGCTGTGATACCAGCCAACCACAGCTTCCAGGGGGTCCCCCATACTACAGGGGCTCAGCTACTGAGAAGCTAGTTTCCTTCCAGGGGATGAAAATGTTCTCAACAATGTCATGAATATACTCAGTGCCACTGAGCCACTCCTTTCAAATGGGCTGGCTTTATATCCTGTGAATTACACTTCAACTTCAGAAAGAAAACAACAGTGCTATGCCAATTGGAAAACTTTTGCTAAAAATAAAAACAAAGGCTCCCTCTGGCTGCCGTGGGGAGAACAGACAGTACTGTGAGCAGAAGGGGGCGCTGGAGAGCAGGAAAGCGCTGGCAGGCTCCCACGGAAGAACTCTGCACCTCCTGTTAGCAGCTTCTCTCCTTGTCCCCAGGCTGGGGAGGGAGCCCAGGGAGCTCAGCTCTACCACTGAGCTACACCTTCCGCCCTTGGCTTTTTGAGACAGCCACGCTGACCTGGAAATCACCATCCTCCTGCCTCTACCACCTGAGTGCTGGGATTATAGGCATGCACCACCACACCTGGAATTTACTTGCTTTTATGCCAAGTTTTCATGTCTATGGAACGAAGCAATCATTAGCTTTTGTATAGATAATGCCTCTGACCTACAGATCACCTGAATAATAGTTGCTTGAGTTGTTTTTCATGAACTTTGATGGCTCAAAGCAGTTGAAATCAGTTAAGAAGGGGTGTGGCTGGGCTTAGTGGTGCCCACCTGTAACCATAAAGTGTCAGTATTCAATGCCATAAAGTCCATTAACTGGGTTTAAAAAAAAAACAACCTAAGTTGCTATAACAAAAACCCTAAAAAAGCAGCAGCTCAAAGAATGCCTGTGTTGGTCAGCTTCATGTTACTGTATTACAACACCTAGTACAGCCAACTAACAAAGTAAAAAGGTCTTTTTTTTTCAGTACTGGGGTGAACTCAGGACCTTCACCTTGAGCCACTCCACCAGCCCTATTTTTGTGAACGGTTTTTGGGGTTTTTTTTTTTTTTTTTTTTTTTTTGAGAAAGGGTCTCACAAACTATTTGCCTGGACTGGCTTCAAACCACAATCCTCCTGATCTCTGCCTCCTGAGTAGCTAGGATTACAGGTGTGACCACCAGCACCCAGATAAAAAGGTTTATCTCAGCTCACAATTCTGGAGGTTTCATCCTTGATCCTTTGGTTCCGCTGCTTTGGGCCTGTGGCCAGGCAGTGCATCATGGAGGGAAATGTGGAGCAGAATGGCCCCTACTTCAAGGCAGGGAAGCCACGCCTCCAATAACCAAAAGTCCTCCCTCTGGGCTCCACCTCTTAAAGGTCCCGCTACCTCCTGGTACCACCTTCCTGGGGACCAAGCGTTTACCATACAGACCTTTGGAGGACATCTAAGATCCAAACTGTAGCCACATCCACGTGGCTCTTTCTCAGGTAATGACCCTGAGGTACATGGTCCATCCAGGCATGTGAGGCAGCTCCTTTCCATCTGATCATGAGGGACCCAAGTTTTTGCCATTTTCCTGTTCCCTTCATTTCCAAGGGCTACAGTAATGACATAGGTATCACAAACAGAGTGGCCTAACACAGCAGAAATGTCTTCTCCCACAGATCCGGTGACCGCATGTTTGAAATAAAGGAATCAGAAGGGCCATTTTTCCTGGAGGCCTCTAGGGGAGGCTCCTTCGTGGTCATTCCCAGCTTCTGGTGGCTCCCAACATTCTTTGGCTAGTGGCCACATCACTCCAGTCCCTGCCTTGGTTTTCACAGGTCCATCCTCCTTCTGCTTCTCTCTGCCATCTCCTCTTTATTTTGTTGGTGGGTGGGTTGTCTTTTTGAGATAGTGTCTGACTATGTAGCCCAGGCTGGCCTGGAACTCAAGATCCTGCTGCTTCAGCTCTCCCCCAACCCATGCTGGGATTATAGGTGAGCACCAGCAGGCCCAGCCATCTCTTCTTAAAGGACATTGGTTACACTGAATTACAACCCACTCTAATGCCCTTGTCTTCACCTGATGCTCCCGCAAAGACCTTATTTCCAAATGAAGTAATATTCATAGGTTACAGAAGATATGACTTCAATGTGTCTTTTATGCGGGACACAGGTAACTCATAGCAGCCATCACGGAGGGCACTGTCCCCATTACATGACTGACACTGGATTGGAGAGATGTTCCTGTTCCAGCTCCATGGGAGGAAAAAAAGAACAGTATTTGCCGGGCGCTGGTGGCTGATCCTAGATACTTGAGAGGCTGAGATCAGGAGGATCGAGGTTCGAGGCCAGTCCTGGCAAATTGGTCTCAGGATTTCCATCTCCAAAATAACCAGAGCACAGTGGACTGGAGGTGGTAGAGCACCTGCTTTGCAAGCATGAAGCACTGAGTTCAAACCCCGGTCCCACCAAAAAAAATAAGAAAAAAAGAAAGAAAGTCCTTGTTGCTTCGGGGGACGGGGAGCTAATTCCTGTCATAAAATTTTATCCATCCATTCTATCCTTCCTGAAATCAAAGGTAGGTGGCTTACAAGGAAACTGCAGGAGAGAATGCAAAATGGAGACAGGGATGCCAAGCTTTTCTCCAGCTTTTAGTTAACTTTTGGGTATTTGCAGGTCCAAGCGAAGAGTCACTGCATTTATAAATGCAAAAGCAGTTCCTAAGCACCTGTTACACTTGGTGAACTTGGATTTCAGCACCATTGCCACCCTCCCGGCCAGACACCTTGCCATGGTGAAGGATGGGGTAAGGGGGATCTGGAATCTAAATGAATTCTACGTAAATGCAATCGTTCTCAGCTCCCTGAGGACATTTTCTATTTAAAGAAATCCTGCTGTGAAAGAACGCTTACCTAAATAGGATTAGTCACCACTGAGTCATTTCTGCGAAATTCACAGACGCGAGTTTTGCCTCAGTAAGATCTGGCTTGGAGAAGTCAGGTAAATTATAGATGAGGTTAATAAATTATATAATACTCAAAATCAAAAGTGGGGGGGGTCAAAACGACACGTGTATCCATCCTAACCAGACCCTCCTTGGGAGGTCTTTAAGGCACTCTCCTCCCCTTTTTAAGCGGGATCCTCCCCCTTGAAGTAATCATTTGATTAAAAAGGATCACAAGTCGATTTCTGTGCAATCGGAGGGCGCACGAGTGAGCCAACAACAAAAACAAGTTGTCTCCGGGAGCCACGCCGAGTTGAAAGCCAAGGGCGATTCAGGAGCAAATAAAGGGAAGATTCTGAGGGTTCTTGCCCCGCCCCTGTTGCCATGACAACCGCGCGGGCGTCTGGGCGGGGCCTCCAGTGCGCTGCCAGTTTCCCACAAGCCACCGCGCGCGTCTGCGCATGCGCCTGGGACCAGCGTTCGGCCACCACCAAGTACAGATGCACTCATTGAGGCTGTTAGGACCGCGGCGGGCACCTTGCCAAGCGAAAATTAGGATGCGAGAAGCCCCAAAAGAGGAGATTTTAAAAAAGAAAAACAGTTCACCACTTTGGGGTGAACGCACCTTGAGGGGGCTCTGGAAAAGACCCCCGCCTTCGTAGGCAGCCCTCTCCCTCAACGCTGTGAGATCCGGGTCTCCCAGCCTCGGTTTCCCCATTTGTAGATCGGCAGAGAACTCGGAACAGGACGGGCTTCGTGGGAATGCTCGGGGCTGAGAGTGGTAGTGAAGGGTCCCCCGCCGCAGTTGGAGGAGGTGGGTATATATATTTATTTGTGGAGGGTACTGGGGTTTGAGCTCAGGGCCTCACTCTTGCTAGGCAGGGCCTTCCACTGAAGTTACCCCCCTTAGCCCCATTTTTAAAAAAATATTTTAGTCTTTGATGATGCTGGGATTTGAACCTAGGACCTCACTCATGCTAAGCGAGCGCTCTGCCACTGACTTACGCCCCTCAGCCCTTATTCTCTCCATTTTATAGGGAAGGAAACTGAGATCCAGAAAAATCCGGTGACTGATCCACAAGCCTGGCAGGACGTGGAGAGCACGGAGCCCTCCCTGGGGAAACCCCCTCTGCAGAAGCCGGAGGTGGGTGAACCTTGTGCCTCAGGGAGGGGCAGGTTGTGTTTTGTTGACAGAGGGAAAAGGAGTGACAGCAGGAAGTAGATTGTGTTCAGAATGCCCTGAGCACCATCCAGACTGTAACCATGATCGGGAGGAAGGCTTGATTCAGGAGCCTAGAGATGCCTCCCATTTGAAAAGTAACTTCACTTACTTTTTTTTGGGGCTTGAACCAAGGACTTCTTTCTGCATGCTAGGCAAGCGCTCTTAGCAAGCTGGCAAATTCTCTGCCCATTTGGCATCTCCACCATCACACCAACTTCCTGCCCATCTGAGCTCCTCTTTGGTTTCTTTCCTCTAGGGCAAGGTCAGCCCTACTGGCCTTGGCGACCAGGTCATTCCTTGTTTGGGTCCTGTGCACTGTAGGATTGAGTAGTAGTGTATCCGACCTCTACTCCTGGCACAGGAACACTCCCTGCTGGACCAAGTTGTCACAGCCAGAAATGGCTTCAGCCATTGCCCAACTGCTGACCTGGAGTCAAAAACGGCTGTGATCCCAGCTGCTCTGGAAGCAGAGATCAGGAGGATCGTGGTTCAAAGGCAGTGCGAGACCCCATCTAGAAAAACTCATCACAAAAAAGGGCTTGTCAGTTTTCACAAAATAGATTGTGAATTCTTCAGTCATAGACATCTGTAAAAACAGATACATTGTAGTAATTTCCCATGTACCCACAATTTCAGTTATCTGTGGTCTAAAAATAATACATTGAACATTCCAGAAATAATCCATAAATTTCAAATAACTCTTTTTGGCAGTATCAGGACCTCACACTAAGTGCTCTAATACTTAAGTAACTCACTCTCCCTAAGTCCTTTAGCTTTTAGTTAGTTTTCAGATAGGGTCTCACTACCTTTGCCCAGGTCCACCCTCAGACTGGGATTCTCCTACCTCTGCCTCCCAAGTAGCTGGGATTATAGAGTGCACCACCAAGCCCAGGTGAGATAACTTGTATTATAGTACATTGTTTTATTTTATTAGGTATCGTGAGTCTCTTACAGATTTATAAAGAGTATAAATCTCTTTAACTTATACATTAAAACTTGGGGCATATTTGTACATATAGGAAGCAGAATGTGTGTGGTTTCTTATTGCAGAGATGTTTGCTATGGCCAGATGTTCTGGAAACTCGTTCACCCAATTGGGATTCTGTGGATCAGAACACAATGGATGATTGAAATGGACAATTCAGGTGAACAGGATACACGGTGGCCAAAATTCAGGAGACTTGGGTCTGTACCTAGTCACTGCAAACTCTAACCTTGACTTATTCTCCCCTCTATAGAAGGGGGGTGTTGAAATGGTTTCTAAGGACTTGGAAATGCTCAGTCTGACACAATGTCCTAAGTTATGGAGGCCATCCCACGCATCTCCCTGTGACCTCCAAATGTCTCGTTCTTTCAGCCTCCCAGCCTCTCTTACCACGTCTTTCCCCTTCAGTCCTTCCAGGCTGTTGTTACTGCTCACACACACTCATTATTCCTGACTCTAAAAGGACATTATGATGGACTTTAATGCCATGGTGGCAGCATTGGAAAATTAGTGTTTAAACACAAGATACCTGGTGTTTGCGTGAGGAAAAATTAAGCATGGTGTGATGCTTAATTACTGGAGTATCTCAAGTGCATACATCAATGACTCTGGACCTATCATTAAAAGGACTGTCCTCTTCAGGACCCACTGGCCTTTCTACATGCTCTCAAGTCACCACATTTGGTCAAAACATTCTGTGTGCTGCCGAAAAGATCAGGAACTTGAAGTAAGGAATTGGGGCATTGGATTTGTTTGTTCGTGTTTGTTTTTAAGGTAGAGTCTCAATGTCGTAGTCCAGGCTGGCCGGCCTCCCAAGTGCTGGGATTACAGGCATGTCTTGGCTTTGAAAAGCGATTGGGATCCTGCTCATAGGAAAGGTCTGACCAAGCCAGGGGCAGAGATGTGGCCCTGTTTGGGGGACATGCTTCTTCCACAGTGCATTTGGAGACAGGTTAAGAGGCTGTGAGCTGACTGGGCTTGAGCAACAAAAAATTACAAAGGCCCCTGTTTGTGTTGCTTCTCCTTTGTGGTGCTGGGGATGGAGCCTTCCTCATGCTGAAGCCCCGCCTCTGTCACTGGACCCCATCCCAGCCTGAGAACATTGTTTGGATAATTTGCACCAGGCCCCACACATCAGACTTGGAATCAAAATGGAGTCACTTAGGCTAAAACTCAAAGCAAAACTCAATTGTCACCTGACCTCATAAATCAGAATTACAGACATTAAAGGTTGCAATTAAGCCACGTGTTGGTGACTCATGCCTGTAATCCTAGCTACTCAGGAGGAGGAGAGCTGCAGGATCAAGGTTTGAGGCCAGCCCGGGCAAAAAGTTCTAGAGACCAAATCTCAACCAGTGAAAAGCTGGATGGGTCTCAAATTGCAGAGCACGTGTCTAGCAAGTGCAAGGCCCTCAGTTCAAACCAAACAAAATTCATCTCTTTTTGTTGTCTATTTTGTTTTGTTTTTCTGAGACAGGGTCTCAGTGTGTAGCCCAGGCTGGCCTAGAACTTGTGATCCTCCTGACCCAGCCTCCTGTGTGTGAGGATTACAGGTGTGCATCACCACACCTGGCAAGGATTTCATTTTATCAAAGGCCCCACCTTTTAAAGATCCCACTAATTCTTAATAGTGCCACACTGGAAACCAGGTTGATCACACTTGACTTTTGGGGGACACACATTCAAACCAGACCCAAACCCTCCAGCCCACTGCCTGGTTTTGGGAAATCAGTTTTATTTGTGTACACAGCTATGCCCATTCATTTGCATGTCACCCGTGACTGCCCTCATTGAGCTTGTAGACTGAATAGCTGGTAGAGCCTACAGTATGTGCTCTCTGGCCTTACAGAAGACTTGCTGATCCTGCCTTAGATGCAAAAGCCAGGGACAGAACATGTCCTGGTCCCAGTTTTGGACTGTGACCTTGTGAGGCTTGCACATGGCCTCCTGTTTCTTCATATTCAACTGCTTAAGAAAGATCGGAGGGTCTAAAAGTATACCTAGGGGGTTGTGGGTGCTTGGTGGTGAATAAAGGACTCTAGCAACAGAGCCACCAAGAGAACAGGAAATACCCAGCTTCTGGGGGTTCTCTGGGCAGCATAGAGCATCTTGAGTTATTTCAAAGGCTTTAAAAAAAAACAGAAATGCTGTATCTTTCTGTCTCCAGTTCTTTGTTTCCTCCTATTAGCCCGTTTTCTGTTACTATAAGAAAATACTTGACATTGGGTACTTTACAAAGAAAACAGGTTTATTTAGCTCTCAGGTTTGGAGGCTAAAAGTCTAAGACCAGGCAGCCCCATCAATTGGGCCTCTGATGAAGGCTTAATGGTGGTTACCATCATGGCAGCAACCCTCATGAGAGTGATCCCATGGTGACATAGAAGCCTGAGCGACTTGCTCTTTCATACCAGTCTGACTTGTGTCCCATAGGACTGTGATAATCTCTGACCTAACAACCTCCCACTTGGCTCCACTTCTTAAGGATCCCACCACCTCTTTTTTTGGCATTACTATGATTTGAACTCAGGGCCTCACACTTGCTAGGCAGGTGCTCTACTGCTTGAGCCACTCCGACAGCCCTTTTGTGTGTGTGTGTGTGTGTGATGGGTTTTTTTAGAGACAGGGTCTCACAAACTGTTCTCCCAGGCTGGCTTCAAAGCTCCATCTTCCTGATGGAGGATTGTCCCTCCTTTCTTGAATCAACACATTCACCTACCCAGACTCCTGTAAGCAGGGCAACCCTATGCTGTTGCCCATTCCCATCATTTCTTCATCATGTCCCCCTCACCAAAGATCACGGTGGGGGTTGAGTTGTTTATCGCCTTCCTCGTCCACCTCCCTCCTTCTAAAGACTGATGCTCACAGAAGCTGGCTGCTGGCCTTCGTAATAGAGCCCACAGTGAAAGTGACATCTGTGTCTTGGATTGGCCATCGTGCAGAGCACCTCCCCCATCACCCACGCATCTGGGAGGAAGAACTCCACTTCTCTGCATTCCTTCACCTCTAGACTTGGAAGTGACCACTCATGTCGCAAATGACCTGCACATGAAGACCCCGACTTGCCTTCACCCACACCTTCAGCCTGGGTGATCTCAACTACACCTCCCTATCCCTCTCCTGGGATTCGCTTTCACCACGTTGAATCCATCCTCTTCCAGAGGTCTCTACAGTTGTGGGTAGGGAAGCTGTCAGACAGAATGTCATCAGATGATGTCATGGCAGGCAGCATAGCAGGGTGCACAGTGACTTCTAGGCTCTCTCCATGGCCACTTCTTGGTGTCCTTGTGTTCTCATTGTTACGTGCAGATGTGAAGTGTTGCGGGCAGGTGTCGAGGGTCCTTGCCTTCACAGGCCAGAGAACTGGCTCGTGAGGCAGCTGAATGACTTGTAAGCCAAGGCTGATACACAAAGTAGGATTTACTAGAGAGAAAGAAAATGCTACAGCTAGAGCGGTGCAGTGGAGCCCGGAAACCGGTGGCTCCCGCTCAGGTGAAGGCTGGGACTTTTTATGGATGCTTTAACTGTGGGTTAAGATGAGGGTTAGGTGGATTCTTTCCATTGGCCAAGGATTTGTGCATGTGGGCTCTTTTCGATGAGCTGGTCTGTTTGCCCCTTACTGGGGGGAAACAACCTTGAGAGCATTCTGTGTGTCAGCCCTGTGGTAGATTTGAGACCCTGTATCTCTTCCTCAGGGTGCAGGAATGCAGATTTATGAGCTCCTCTGGATGCAGGGCCCATAGTGCTCTTCATGGGGGATGGGATACTGACTCACTCATCTGTCCTTTAGGTCTCCAGACCGAACATATCATAGTCAGTAGTGACCTCCAGCAAAGCCTGGGTCACAATTCTTATTACTCTCCTGTTGACTTTTATTCTTTGCAGTGCTGGGCATGGAACCCAGAGCCTCACACATGATAGGCAAGTGCTCTACCACTGA